GGGTGGGGGTGCTGGGTGGAGGGGAGCAAACAGAAAAATTGGGACAACTGTAATAGCATAATCAATAAAATATTATCTTTTAAAAAAGATGACAGTTAAAATATGGAAAGCATTGGCACAGTACTAACACAAATTAGAAAATTAAGAAAAACAGCTGTCGTATCAGTTGGGATTCTTTCTTGCAAGTGGTAGAAACAAAAGACAATTTATTGGCCTTAACAATTATATCAAACAATGGCTGAAGGCCCAATCTCTGTCTCTTTCTCTGTTTCTCCACCCCGCTCTGATTTCCAATTTCATCTGTATTTCCAAAGATGTGTAGTGTCTGAATGATAATGAACAGAAATTGAGCTTTTAAATATGACACGGTTTCAAGCACTTTGCATGGATATCTCACTTAATCATCATCATAATAGCTACAATGAGGTAGTTATTATAACCGTCCCATTTTACAAGTGAGGAAACTAAGGCACACAGGTTAATAGCGAGAAAGCAGCAGCACCGAGAACTGAACCCAGCTGTCCTACTCCAAAGCCCTCGTGCTCAACTATTTATTCCACAGGCTTCCTCTGAAGGTGTTAATGGGTGAATAGATGAAGAGGATAAGGATTTTCAAATAAGAAAATATAAAGAAGTATGAAAATTTGACATCTGATGTTACTAATAACTTCACTGCAAAACTGTGGGTTCATTTATCTTTGCACCCACAACATCTAAATAGTAGGCACACAGACAGTGACTGATAAATGTCTGACAAATGAATTAACTCGTCACTAGCAAATTCCTTTACCCTCTGCCACCTCCAACATTGCTTATTTATTTTATATTTTTCATTTATGAACTTCCCATGTCACCCAAAAGTATTAGCCAATAAACTTATGCACATGGTCAGTTAATTTTTAAAAAATCAGGAGAACTAATAGTAAGTATTCTTATGTAAAAGATCAGAAAGAATTCTTTAACACTGGTGGTTCCCAGGAAAACAAAAATTTCCACCTTCTCTGGCGCCCTCTTGTGCTTTGTGGTGGAAAGTAATCAAGAGTGCGTATGCTTCCCAGAAATGAATCTGGGTTTTCTATATACACACCCAGTACAAGGGCACTCACGTGTGTGCACACACGAAACCTGAGAGATTAAACTTGTTTTCCCTCTCTGTGTGTTAGTCTAGTCAGTGCTTGTGTCAGGAATTGTACAATGTTATTCCACCTGGGTTTCGCCAGTCCCACTAGGCTGTAATTAACCTCATCAGGTTAAGGTTTGAATTCAGGTTTGAATTTCCTCCAGCTTCTAGAGACTCACACAACTTATAAAATGCACTGATGTGTTTGGAGGAAGTATATGTCACATGTGTTACCTGGCAAGACTGCGCTGGTTGATCTCTCTCTCTCTCAGTCTCTGGCCAAGACTCTGACTTCCTTGAGAATTTAAAGCTGCACTTTGTCTTGGAAAGAAAGAAGCATAAGCGCTCACTTCCCCTTAGAAGGGCCCTCAAACCCTGGCCTGGGTGGCTCAGTTGGTAGCAGCCTTGTGCTGCGGATCGATGTTTCTCTCCTTCTCTTTCTCCCTCCCTTTCCCCCTCTCTAAAATCAATAGGCATGTCCTCAGGTGAGGATTAAATAAATGAATAAATAACTATTTTTAAAAAGGGCCCTCAAAGCAGTGCCACTTGTGCTTCAAGGTCTTGCGAAGCTCGCTGTTTGTTCACTAGGGAAATGGGCCTTTTGGCTTTCCGAAGCTCCCTATGCACAGTAGGGCTCTTTCCTATGACCACTGCAAAGGAACAGAGGCTCAGGCGGGAAATGCAAATGACACACACCATGTTGCCTGAATCAGGCATCCTACCCCGGCAACTTGACAACTAGGCTCAGATATTTCCGATTCTTAGTTAGACTTAAGCTGGAGCCTGCATTATTTCTCCATGAAACTGAATAATTAGTGATAACATTAAAATTATTAATAGTAGTGGCTGACTTTCATTTAGTGCTCAGTACCTACTAAATACATTGCTGAGTGTTTTACATGTAGCACCTCACTTGATTTTCATGTGTCTAATGAAGCCAGTAATGTTATAATCCTCGTTTCACAGAGAAGGAAACTGAGGTTTGGGGAGGACACATGCTCTGAGAGACACTGCGGCTCTGAGAGAATCTCGTTGGTGTAGTCTTTCTAGCCAGAAGACTGCAGCTCCAATGCTGGCTCTTCCACTTTCTAGCTGGGTGAATCTGGGTGAGCTACTTACCCTGTCTGTGCCTCAGTTTTCTTATCTGTAACAATAACGATTCCTGCTTCATAAGGATGTTGCAGGTATTAAATGAGTTAATATATACAAAATGATTAATGGTACTTGGCATACGTTAAGCATTATATACGTACTTCTAAAAAAAGGAGAAGTGAAACTCAGGATGCTTCCCCCCACTATATGGTCTCCCTAAGGTGAAGACTATGTTTATTCTCCTTATGAAGATTATTAGGAAATGGACCCCAGTAAGATGTCCTGAATAACTGATGAATTTCCCCTTTGTGCAGCAGAATCATCTGAAGAGTTTTGTAAACTATTGATCCTGATTCAGCAGTTCTAGGGCAAGGCCCAGGGATCTTTATTTTTCTGAAGTTTCAAGAGATGCCCATGTGTAGCCAGGATTACAAGTCACTGTCCTAGTACTTTCATGATTACAAAGATGTATTTATTTATTTATAGAGAAAAGGGAAGGGAGAGAGAAAGAGGAGAGAAGCATCAATGTGCGGTTGCCTCTCATGCACACCCAACTGGGGACCTGGCTGACTACCCAGGCATGTGCCCTAGACTGGGAATCGAACCAGCAACCCCTTCATTCACAGGCCAGCACTCAATCCACTGAGCCGCACCTGCCAGGGCACAAAGTTCTTTTCCATAATAAGACCATATTTACCTCATGCTTACTACATGCTAGATACTAAGTGCTTTAATTTGCATCACTAAAAATTGCACGATTTAGGTAATTATTATCATTCATACTTTGCAAATGGGAAAACCAAGGAATAGAAAGAAACTTGCCTGAAGTCACTTAGCTGGCTGGTGGCAGAACCAGGATTTTAAACCAGGTAGACTGACACCATGACCTGTGCACTAACTACCAGCCTACACTGCCTTTGCCCCCAGTACTGAATGTGAACTAAGCCATACGTCTGTGCAGTGTGCTGCTTTTCCCTTCCCCCCAGTGTATAGATGAGGAGGCTAAAACTAAGGATCTGACCCAATGTACACAGCTAGTTATTTTATAAGGCCTTTTATATGCGTTCCCTCCTCCTCTTTCCTGCTCTGGTCCATGCCTTCATCCCATACTTAATCTGGCAAGGGTTTCATCCAAAAGCCCTCTTCTATCTTTGTCCCCACTCTGCACACTACCTCCAGCTCCAACTTCATCCACTAAACAAAGAACTCATCAGGCAACCCTTTCGTTTCGAATTTGACTCATATTTGTCCTGTTTGCCATCTGTAGTGGGTTGAATAGTGACTCTCAAAATGCTATATGCCTCCTAACCCTGAGAACTTGTGAACGTAAACTTGTGTGCAAAAGGATCTTTACCTACGTAGTTAAGCTGAGGATCTCCAGCTGGTATCTTGCTGGATTGTGTGGGCAGGTCCTAAATCCAATGACAAATCTCCTTATAAGAGGTAAAAGAAAAGACACAGATGCATAGAGGAGAAGGCCATTTGAAGACAGTGGCAGAGGTTGGAGTTCTGCAGCCACAAGCCAAGGAACGCCTGGAGACACCAGAAACTGGAACAAGAAGGAATTCTCTCCTAGAGCCAGCCTCTCTCTGCAGGGCGTGTGGCCCTGCTGACACCTTGACTTCAGACTTCTTGCCTCCAGAGCTGTGAGAGAATGAGTTTCTGTTGTAAGCCACCCAGTTTGTGGTACTTTGTGACAGTAGCCCTAGGATAATAACACACCATCTCTACACCTTTCCTTGCCTTTCAGGGCTCGTGACAGGTGTGGTTTCCCTGCTCATCCGGCACTATGTCTTGAATAAACCCTCTGCCCTAACTACTCCTCCTTCACTGTCTTCTGCATGGGACCCTCAGGTCCTCTAGTTGCCTTCCCTCATGTTGGAAAGAAAACACAACATAATTCCCCTCAGAAGGGAGCTGCCATTGAGGTGGCAGGACATGGCAAAGATGAGCTCTGCAAGGACATGGGGGTGGTGGGGGCAGGGCACCTTTGCCCGTGAGTTCCTTGACAAATTTTCTCCTTCTTTTTCTTACCCTTTGCTATGTCATCTCCATCAAAGAGCACACCTGAGACTTAACAAGCCATACTTCATCCTTGAGCATCATTTGTAAAGTAAGAGTGTTTGACAAGTTGACCTCTCTCTTACTCACCTCCCAGGTCTCGTATATAAAGTACATAGAAATACATCCATGCAAAAGTTTTCCTTGAGCGCCCACTAAAGGCTAAACACTGTCCCAAGAGCTGAGGTTAAAGCAATGAGGTAGATGTGGTGCCTCCCGGAGTAGAGTCTTCCTGGGTGGATGATTACTGTGCTCTGGGTCACTGGGACATCCAGAGGGAAGGGGCGAGAAGTGTGCAAATGTATAGGGACAGTGACACCCAAGAGAGGCAAGGAATAGGTTTATTTTATTCCCCTTTGGGGTGGTTCGATGGCAAGGTTTAAGTTTTTGACATGGTAAAGCTGAGATGAAAATGTCTGATACATAATTGAAATTACAGGTTTTAGAAGGGGACCGAAAAAGATCAAGGGTATTGGCTGAAACCCTGGATATGGATGAGCTCAGCCCAGGTGGTGAAGAAGAATGCCAGGGAGAGGGTCCTGGAGAACTCCAAGTGTCACACCTTGCCCTGCGCAGCGCACGTCCTCTCCCGCTCACGTGACCAGCACTGAAGCTCCGGAGGGAACTGTCAATGCCATTTCCCCTCAAGTCCCGCCCTATGGGCGGGGCGAGTCAGCAGCACTTCAATTGCACCGGGAAGACCAAACCTGAAACCCGGTAGGTGTGGGCATGGCCGCCTCGGACCCTCATCGGAACATGGGGAACGAGGGCTGCAAGGGGCAAGGGGACAAGGATCCCCAGGGAAGGAGGGATGCCCGGATGCACCGCTCCATGTCGCTGAGTACTGGAGCAGCAGTGGCTGCGGCGGTTGCTGCGCTGGTAACCGCCCTGCTCCTGCTGTGGTGTGAGGACGCGGGGCCGGGGGCCGGCTCAAGGTAACCCCTCCGCTCAGGGGACTGAGCTGGGCTCCCGCACCCTTTGGGCAGAGGAAGGAGGGATCGGAACCGAGGGTACAAGGGGGAACGAGGCCTCTTGGTGCCCGCAGTCTGTGGCCCCTACCAGGGTTTCAGTTGGCACCCTCCCTGCAGGTGACTCAGTGCTTTCCCCTGGGCACTGCGGAGAAGAACAACATCTTCTTTCAGGACAAATAAACATTCCTTGTGCCCCAGGGAAAGCCAGGTTATCCCTGAAACATCCTAAAATCAGCACCTGTTGATGTTATTTCAGTAGCATGGCTGAGACAGAGGCGCTGCCCAAGCTTCGGGAAGACTTCAGGATGCAGAACAAATCCGTCTTTATTTTGGGCGCCAGTGGGGAAACCGGCCGAGCGCTCTTAAAAGAAATACTGGAGCAGAGCCTCTTTTCCAAAGTCACAGTCATTGGCCGGAGGAAGCTGACTTTTGATGAAGAAGCTTATAAAAATGTGGTGGGTATTTAGGCTGAGACTCAAAATGTGCACGCTGTGATTCTGCCAGGTGGGCCAATTTCATGCTTAGAGGTTGAACATTGCCCGCCTGTGGTGGTGGGGGCTGCGAGAGGTGATCAGAATGTGGCCAAGACTGACCTGTGAGAGCCCTTCCTGAAAGGTGGAGTCCTGGACTGTAGGCCTCCGTGGGCCACATCTCACTTGGGCAAAGGTCTTCTCTCAGTCCGGGCACCTGCAAGGCTGGGCCCGAGTTGTAATCGCAGTCAGAGACCATCACTGTTTTCAGCGTCATTGAAGCTGGGTTCTAGACACAGTCCACTTAGCTTGTTTTGTCTCCCTGTCCACTCCACACGAATGTCAGTGAATCAGAAGATGCCTTTCAGAGCAGGAACAGTCTGGCAGTGAGAGGAAGGTTATTCACTTGTAAGAATTTGCCCTGCCTGACTTCGCAGGGCTGCAGCCTTGTGTCTGTAGGCAGAATATTCCTTCCCTTGACTTTCATTTATACTTTCACTTTCATTTACACTTGTCTGGTTAACCAGACAGTACTCCGGACTTCAGCCTGGTGCACACTCCCTAAGTACAGGGTCTGGCACAAACCATACCTTTTTTATTACAAAATCTTTTACTACAAAATCATAATAAGCATGTAATTCTGTAACATAACAATAGCACACTCAAGCACACCATATGACGTTTTAGGTGAAATGTCAAATTAAAACTATAAATTATTACACTCATATTATTACCTTACCAACCACACTCAAGCAGGCGTCAACTTCTGCTGGACCCTGCATTTGAAGTCTGAGCTTCAGTAAATTATGGTGTAATACTGAGACCCCCTAATTATAGAACTTGGTCCCACAGGTTTCACAGGTGGAAACTTCCAGATAACAAATGGTCTCACTAATAAATGCTCTTGACTCCTGCAGGTCCGTGTTCATGTCATTTTGTATGCCTTTGGTCCATCAGGAAGTTTCTGTTTAAAATGGACATCTTTGCTCAGACTTAGGCAGTAACACATAGTCTTCACAGTGTAGTTTTATCAGGTGTGTCTGATACTTTGGATAATTAGAAACTGAAATCAAGTTCTGTGCTTTGACAGTCTATTTTGGTGGCACATATTTTGGTCGGGCAATTTATGCAAACATTTTCCTTTCAGGGTTGCGTACAGTGCCGGAAAAAATATTTTGAAAGAGTTGATGGTAGGGAAGAAAAGCAACATTTTATGTGAACTCCTGGGTGATGGATGGGAACTGAACTCAAACTTTGTTTTTTAAGTTTCACAGCAAACTTATTAGGTTAGATAAAGGTTCTTAAATTTCAGTGAGCATGAGAATGTCCAAGGGTGCTTATTAAAAGTGAAGTTTTTGCCCCAGCAGGGTGGGTCAGTTGGTTGGAGCATTGCCTCATACACCAAAAGGTTGCAGGTTCGATCCCTAGTCAGGACATATGCAAGATACAACCAATCGATGTTTCTCTCTCATATCAGTGTTTCTCTCTCTCTCTCTCTCTCCCTCTCCCCCCTCCCCAAATCAATACAAAATATCCTAGGGTGAGGATTTTTTTTTTAAAAGTGAAGTTTCTGACTCAGAAGTATTAGTATGAAACCTAAGAATATACCCTTTTATCAAGCATTCACTTGCAGGTGGACTTTAATGCAGATGGTTCATGGATTGGACTGTAGGAAAGATTATCAGTTACATTCTACTGCTGAAAAACTGAGGCATATGATGAAATAACTTGGCCAGAATTACATATGTAGGAAGTGGCGGGCCCCAGACTCCAGCCTAGGCATTTGAGATACCAAACACCATGTGCCGCCCCACCGTGTAAGCTCATTGGTATTCCCTCTGGTGATACGCAGACAGGTCTTTCACATTTCTCCATGGAGAAAATTATAATTGAACCTGCCTTTGGAGATCTGGATCACCCCAGTCCAATTATGTGTGCCATGGCCGTATTAGTGCATTATTGATTTTGAATTCAGATTAATTGGGTTTGGGTGAGAGAATATGTGTTTGCAAAATTTGGTATTAAGTGGGCAGACTCTTCAGTAATGTCTTGTAATTTCTTCTTTAAATGTAGAGGGGTATTTTTAAAAATAACGTCAAGTTACATATAACCATGTCCTTGTCATCTAGAATCAAGAAGTGGTGGATTTTGAAAAGCTGGATGACTACGCATCTGCCTTTCAAGGCCACGATGTTGGATTCTGTTGCCTGGGCACCACAAAAGCAAAAGCTGGGGCGGTAAGGCAGAAATACACATCCTTATCCATTTTCTCTGGCTAGTAATGTCAAAAATTCCTTTTTTGCTCACTTTTTCTTTACATTTGCAGTGCTGTAATGTAAATCAGCTCTCATCATTTCAGATTTCATCTGTTGCCCTAGCCTTTGTTGTACTTTAAATAGCAACAACAAGTTCATCTTTCCTTCAAAGTAATCCTTGAGGGCAGGCCTGTGTGCTGGGGACATCATGCATATTTACATGGTCTTGTAAACATTGCTGTCACTCTGTCCCCTGGCTAAGGCAAACCATCGCATTGCGGTAAAAGTAACTGGCTCGTGCTGTCAGCAGTAAGCTTTTTTTTTCTTTCTGTTTATAAATGTTTCAAACTTAAAGCATTCTCTCTCACTTGAGTGAGTTGCTTCAACCTATTTTCCTGCCAAGCTTTAAACTTCTGGGACAGAGCATCCTCACGGAGGCACGATTCAGCTGATGTGCCTCCAGGGGTGACTCAGCCTCCAGCGATGATTCAACCCCTGCGGTGATTCAGCCCCAACTGACGCACCACTGTTCCAACACAACTTTAGTTTTCTTTTTAATGGTTCTCTAAATTGTATCAGCCCCTATCCAGAAGTCAGAGTTTACTACATAGTTAGAAGTCATAGCTTACACCATAGATCTTGGGCAAGTGTTCATCTAGCTCGTTTACCTTATACTTTGACTATACTTTGTCCCTCCAGCAGAATTTACTTGTTGGAGCTAAACGTGTCTGTTAACTATGTAGGACCATCGTGCTGCCCTGGGGGCTTACCCCAAGGTTATAAACAGCCCGTGCTTTGGAATCATCAGGAGAACACGTGCTTAGGAACTGTTCGTGTATGCCAACCAAGGAGTTAGCCTCAGCTGTATTTCTCCTGATGAACCAAAGAATAATTCTATTCTTCTATTCAGTTCTATTTATGCTTTCAGTAGGGATCTATTTCCAAATCTTCTGCAGTTCTACCATGTCCACTTTGGATACAGCTGGGTTCTGAGCTCTGTGCCAGTGTTTGGCACAGTCTCTCTCCCAGAAAGGCTCATGTTCCTGCTCAGTGGCTAGTGCTGTCCGTTTTGCCCCAGGGACAGTCACAAGCTGTGTGCCCTCCAAAAGCACTGAAAAAGTTTTGTTTTGTCTGAAATGCCAGCCTGGTTTTGGTGGTGACTCAGCAAAACAAGACAAGCAAGCAAACACTGCATTAGGCATGGAGCAGCTGATTTCCGTGACATAAAAGCGAAGCTCATAGGGAGCTCTAGGGAGAGTATAAATTGCTTTGTTGCATCCACGTCGTGTAATGCAATTTTAATCAGAGGCATTGGGTGTCTTTGCTATTTAGAATATTTTTTAGTAAGCAGGAGACTGGTGAGCTAAATAGTCTCAGAAATGAGTTAGGGTTTAAATGGTTTAAGATGATACTGACAGAAAGGTGACATTTCCTCCAGAGTCTTTTTTTTTTTTAGACTAATTTAGATTGGACACAATATAAACTTTGGAGGTTGTGATAACTTTAGGCAATTTAAAAGAGGTGAGAATTCACAAGTGGCTGGGTAATCACATTTTGACGGGCCCGGGGATTTCCAAGCTCACTCCACCTGGTGCTCTGGGTCGGCAGCCTTCTGTGTGGAAAGATTTCCTCAGGCGGATCCTGCAGAGCTGGTGGTGGCAGCTCTGCCTCAGGCCATTCTGTCACCATTTTGTAACTGGGACACCCCGCCTTTTGCCTCAGCAATCTGAGATTCCGGTACAGAAAGCTAAAGAAAATCAGGGTTTTTGTCTCAGGGTTAAAACCCTCAAAGCAGCCAGCTTTCCCCCCTGTGACCTACAGTATTTTCCAGGGCTGTTAAAATAAAGCACCATAACCAGGGTGGTTTACACAACAGAAATGTACTGCCTCCCAGTTCTGGACGCTGGAAGTCTGAGTGAGATCCGGGTGCGGCGGGGTCGGTTCCTTCTGACGGCTGTGAGGAAGAGTTTGTCCAGGCTTCTCTCCTTGACTGAGAGACGGCTGCCTTCTTCCCGTGTCTCTTCACCTGGTATTTTCCCTGTGTGTGTGGCTATGACTAAATTTCTCCTTTTTATAGTGACACTAGTCAAATTGGACTAAGTACCACACTATTCTGTATGTCCTCATCTTAACGAATTACATCTGTAATGACCCTATTAACAAATAAAGTCATATTCGGAGGTACTAGAGGTTAGAACTTCATCCTATTCTGTTTATGCTTTCAGTAGGGATCTATTTCCAAATCTTCTGCAGTCCCACCACGTCCACTTCCACGTCCACGGACACAGCTGGGTTCTGAGCTCTGTGCCAGGGTTTGGCACCGTCTCTCTCCCAGAAAGGGCCATGTTCCTGCTCAGTGGCTAGTGGCTAGTATTTTGTGGGAAACACTGAAACCCATGAAATTAAGTCTCCCCAGATTTCTGTTGAAACTAGTGCCAGGGATAGGTTAACTTTCTTCAGCTGTTCGGAAAACCGTTTCTTTAGCAGTAGCTGGTTATTTGCTAATCTTCCTTTTCACACTCTCAAGCCCCAGCTGTCTGATCAATGCAGCGGCTTCCCGAGTTGGCCTGAATCCATATTTACTGGGTCACTTGCTCGGAAACCGTATTTTAAGCGGGCTCCTTGGGAGATTCTGATGCAGCCAGCTCTCCTCTTCTTGCTGGACCTACTTCCAGGAGGCATTGGGATAATTAGTCTTCCTCACTTGTTAGTTTTTCTGGTACTTCAGTCCCAGATAGTTTCGTCTTGCTTTAATGAGTAACTTGTGTGCTAGTGAAGGTTGAAATAACCTTAGAAAACCAGGTCTACATGGTCTGGAGTGAAGAGCAAAGATGCCACTGAGAATAGTGTTTGCCTTTGACTTGTGTCAAGACAAGGATTTGGATAGGCAGTTTGAGGTGGTATGATGTGGTTTCACCTCTTCGTTTGCCTCCTCACCCAGTAGGTATGCACAGGCTCCAGCAGGACAGGTTCTTGGATTCTGTTGAATGGATGACGCCGTTCATGTGATTAGTGCAGCCATTGCAACGTTTATTAGGTATCATGACAGCCTCACGGCTTCTGATTCTAATGACATGTTCTTCTAGTCCAGTGGCTTGCAAACTATAGACTGTGGGCCAAATATAGCCCACCTGGTTTTGTGCAGCCCAGGAGCTAAGACTGTTTTCACACTTTTAAATGGTTAAAAAATTGAAAAGAGGAACAGTTTGTCATGGCATGTGAAAATATAAGAAATTCAAGTGTTAGTAATCCATAAAGTTTTATTGGAACATAGCTATTCTCATCACCTTGTCATGTATGCCTGCTTTCACAACATGGCATCAGAGCTGTGTCACTGCAACAGAAGCCTGCAAATGTGAAAATGTTTACTAGCTCATCCTTTACAGGAAAAGATTGCCCACTCCTGTTGCAGTTTTTACTGCAATTATTCTACATCTATTCGATGTCTAGGAGGGACTTGTGAAGTGACAAGGTCGAAGATGGTTTAAGGGGCCCAGATCATGGGATCCATTTGAACACCAGGCAGCTGCAGGACCTTGGGTACGTGGTTAGGTCCTGTGGGCCATACCTCCTTGTCTGGGAGGGAGGGGCCCCTGAAGCCCATTCAGCCTGCAGAGTGCTTTGACTTTCATAGCACAGAGACAAGAATGCCCCAAAGGGAAAAATTCTGTGAGAGCATAGAGATTTACTCATGAATCCTCAGTATAGGTTTAATTTATTTTTCTACCCAGAGCTCCTCCTCTAACCAGGATCTTGGTTCCCCCATCAAACACAGAGATGTCCCCCCAGGAAGGAGACAAACGAATGTGGCATCAGATTATAACATGTGTTGTTCATCAGCATCTCTAGTCTAATTTATAAGGTTGGGATAAGGGAGAAAGAATCTGAAGCAGAAATATGGCTAAGTATGACCCTTTACAGGATGATAGATCTGCCCTTTTTGGAAAAGCTTCCCCCTGACCTTGAGTCATTTTGGCACGCTTGCTTGTCGTATCAGTCATTGCCAAAATACCTTGTTGGATATGGATGAGGTGTTCTTAAGCCAGAGTGTTCCCAGTTTTCAAGCATTGGTAAAGAAGATTAGAAGAAATACTTAGTAGCTTTGGATTTTAGTAAGACTTGAGTAAAGGGTAATTGGAACCCTGGCCAGTGTGGCTCAGTTGGTTGGAGCGTAGTCCCATGGACCGAAAGGTTGCAGGTTCGATCACTGGTCAAGGCACAGACCTAGGTTGCAGGTTTGATCCCCTTTTGGAAGACATATGGGAGGCAACTAACCAATGTTTCTCTCTCTCTCTACCCCCCACCCCACACTTTCCCTCTCTAAAAGCAATGAAAAAAATGTCCTCAGGTGAGGATTGAAAAAAAGAGTAATTGGAGAATTTGTCTTCCTAGATATTTGTGGAGTATATGAAGATATCTCTGCTGAGTCGTATTACATTGTGTTTACTCATCCAAATGGGTCTTGGGAAAGGGAATTTACGGTGGGAACTTATTTAATCAATTCCCTTTTTAGAAGGAATTCTGATTCCTAGCTTGGAGTAGGATACAGAGACTGCAGAATGATAAAGACACAGTAGCATAACAGACTTCATGCCCTCAGAAGAGATGTCTTTTCTCCTGCCCTATGGTTAGGGAAAATATACAGTTTTTCCAAAAACAGTGTTTCTGGGATATGGAGTAGTTTGTTTTAGTTTGTTTTTCTATTATTTTTTATTTGAGCAGCTAGAGAATAAGAAAAGGTGTTAATAATAAAATTTTAAAGATATCTGCTTTCTATGTATAAATGGACTCTTCCTCACTCCAAAAAAAGTATTGATGTGTGTTGATACCTCTGAGTCAGTCAGCAGGATTCACGTTTATGTTTGGTTTCTAAGTCCTTGAAAGCCATTGACCCCTTTGCTTTTGAGTTTCATTCACCAGCTGAAAGGGCACGCATCAGGGTTGGGGAAATGAAATTCAAAATTTGTGTGCTTGGAAAATGCGTATTTATAATCAGCTTGAGGGCTCAGAGGATTTGTGAAATCGGTTTGGATTAACAGCCATTGATTGCCAATAAAACAATATTTAGCTTTGTCCGGAGCACAGCGATGGAGAAAGGTGTGGGCACCTTGTCACCCGGGCCCATTGAGCGGGGATGATGGGCTGAGCGCCGGGGTCTCCGCAGCAGCGTGGGTGCTCCTCCTTCAAGGAGCCGGTGTCAGTCCTTAGTGAGGCCGGTGAAAGGAAGGACGCCAGCGTCTGATGGCTGGGGTGGTATTGATGTGCCTTCGCTGACTAATCAGATTGGAAAAGTCCCATGGTATTCATGTCACTTTAATTTCCATCAAACAATTGGAGCCGACAGCACTCTATTAAGGAGAGGTTGATCCAGAACTAAAGCCAAATAAATTAGGGTTTCAATTTAATCAAATTATCCCTTTGCTGGCCCTGGATTAAGAGAGAGAGACAGCGTCGGTCTAGAGACTTGTGATTGGCTGAATCTCCCCTTGTTTTTAAAGAAACTGATGAAAGAAAAGCATTTTAACAGAGACAACTTTAATGCACCTTCCAAGAAATAGTGCTAAAACCACAGCAACAGCAAAAAGGGATTTATTTCACTAGTCAACTGTGTCATTTTATTATGAATAATGAACCTGTTATTAAAATCAGAGTTCTGGTGAATTGGAATGAGGAGAAGAAATAGACATGGAAGAGAAATTGAGTGTTTTTGGAATTTTTCTATGTAGTTTTGGATTGTTTTTCTTGGCACACTTTCAGCACATATAAAATCTCATTTCAGAAAATGGCTCAGAGGAGAATCACATCCCTTCTCGGGACGTGCTGAGAATTAAAATTGGCTTGCTCCACACTGATTTAAAAAAGCGACGGCATAAGTTTGGGTCAGTTAAGGCAGAATGTCCAAGGACAGGGCACAAAAGGAGATGGTGCTGATTCACTCGTTAAGAGTGAGGTTTCTATTCCCTAAAGTGAGGCAGGAAAATAGCACTGCCCTGCAGGTGGCTGCGGCTGGACTGCGCGGGATGAGAAGGGAGGACCAGAGAGGCTTTGGGGGCAAGAGTAACTTACCCCCAAGTTCTATTTCTTGGTTTAGGAACTGGTTGATGGGTCATGTTCAGTTTATGAAAATTCATCAAGCTCTGTACTTATAATCTGTTCAATTTTCTTCTATGCTTGGGGCTATTGTTTGAAACTTGAATTCCGTATTAGTTTTCTATGGCTGCTGTAACAAACTGCCTCAGATTTAATGGCTTCAAACAGCATAGTCGTATAATCTTGCAGTTCTGTAAGTTAGAAGCCCACCGTGGGCTTTGCTGAGATAAAAGGGGATTTGCTCTAGGGGAGAATCCATCTCGTTACCCTGTCTAGCTTTTCAAGGTCACCCACACTCCTTGGTTCACGGTCATCTTTAAGGCCAGCCATGGGGCAATCAAGTGCTTCTCACATTGCTGAACTCTAATCTCTTCTGCTTCTCTTTTCTGCTTTGAAGGACTCTTGTTATTACTTTGGCCCAGTTAGATGATACAGAATAATTTTATTTTTAGGCCAGCTGATTGATTGAGTAGTAACCTTAATTCCACCTATAATCTTAATTTCCCCTTTTATTCTTTTTTTAAAAGAAATTCTTTTTTTAAGATTTTATTTTTTTAATTTATTTTTAGAGAGGGAAGGGAGGGAGAAAGAGAGAGAGAGAGAGAAACATCAATGTGCGGTTGCTGGGGGCTGTGGCCTGCAACCCAGGCATGTGCCCTGACTGGGAATCAAACCTGGGACACTTTGGTTCGCAGCCTGTGTTCAATCCACTGAGCTATGGCAGCCAGGGCTCCCCTTTTATTCTTTAAAAAAAAGTTCAGTTACAGTTGACATACAATTTTATATTTGTTTAAGATGTACAGTGCAGTGATTAGACATTTACAAACTTACGAAGTGATCACTCTGATAAGTCTAGTACCTACCAGATACCATACGTGGTTATTACAATGTCATTGACTATATTCCCATGCTGTACTTTACATCCTGTGACTGTTTTCATATCTGGCAACTTGAACATCTTAATCCCTTCCACTTTTTCACCTATCCCCTCAACCCCTCTCTCCGTTTTGGCCACCATATGTGTATCTTCACTGTGTAACCTAACATACTCACAGGGGCGGGGATTAGGAAGTGGACGTCTTGGAGGGGCCATTGCTCTGCCCACCCCAAGTATGAATGAGTCATTTTTGTCGACTAGAGGTAGTGTGAGATGAAGAGGAACTGGTGGGCACAGTTTGCACTCTGCTCTCAGCTCCCTTATTAGCCAGCAGTTCCCAGGACCACTGGACCTTGCTTTCACGTCTTCGTAGTGAGGGGGTTCGATGTGATGTTTCCTCGGGCCACACATCTGTGAAGGATACACATCTCCATATGAAATAAACCATTTAGGGCCTGTAACTACCATAGGGCAAATTTTTAATTTAAAAAATCATTGGGGCAGTAATCAACCTTCAGATTTAGAATCCTCATGATATAAAACCTCATTTACATAATGGTGGGCACCTATGGGGTTCAGCTTTAGTAGATTTTAGACTCCTCTTCGGATGTCTTGGGTCTGAGGATGCTAGGTATTTGGTGGTCCCAAGAAACGCTGCTACTGGAATTCCCTTGTCTGGGGATAGGCCCATGTCCTTCAGTGAGGCCCAGGAAATGAGTCTGTATTCTGTTGTGTGCGTCATCCTCTCCCCTCTTCCTTTTATTGCCTCTTAGTTCTTTTCTTTTATAATTGGATTTGCCTTTTCTCCGCTTTCATTGGACTTTAATTTATACGTTCAAGTATTTTTGGAGCACCTACCATGAGCTGGGGAGGTACTTAATGCTGAGATGAAAATTTGGAAGAAAGACCCAACCACTACCCTCACTAGACAGAGTCTAGACTGGGGTCTCCAAACATCCTTGATTGTACCCCTGTCAGTAAAAAAAACTGAGGATGCACTTTTTGCTAATATGTAAAGTATGTTGTAAAACATATGCAAAAATGGGATTAAATAGACTATTCTCATAGTGCCTGGGTAGTGTTCCCAGCCTGCTGTGAGACCCTACCACGTTAGGGTGGATGCAGAAAAACCAGAGAAAACAGAGTGGGGGCTGGGACATTGTAATGTTATTAAAAGACAAATGGGTGACTAAAAGCAGTTTCACAGCCTGGTCTTATTGTTCCTCTTGCTCCTTGCCAATTTGTTTGGTGTCTGTGTTTCAATGTCATTTTGTTTGTTTTTTCACTTTTACTTAATTTTTTTAAACCAGGGGGAAAAAAAACAACCCAGTTCACCCATCGCCTTTGATTTTTCAGTCTGGCCTTGCTCCTAATGCTGGTCATCTATCCTGAGGCTGACACTCGGGGCCCTTCCCAGGGCCTGAGCCTAACACTCACATATTACCTGGATGCAATGGTTTTATTTAGACCCTGCTTCCCGCCCCCACCCCCTGCCCACCCCTGTGAGGCCTCCTGGCCTGCCACCCAAGCTGAGTAGTAATCTTTAAGATGAACGTACAGCTTTTTGGAAATAACTCACCTTCTTTTCCCTCTCAGGAGGGGTTTGTGCGTGTCGATCGAGATTATGTCCTGAAATCTGCAGAGCTGGCAAAAGCTGGAGGGTGCAAGCATTTCAACTTGCTGTCCTCTAAGGGAGCGGATAAGTCGAGCAGTTTTTTTTATCTGCAAGTTAAGGTTTGTACATATTTCTTCTATATATACTGGAGTATTCGGAGTAATTGGCAGTACTAAATAACAGAATGCTAAATAATCCAAAAATGCAGTAAGTGCATTATATTACACATTTTTATAGCTACAGGGGCTGTTTTTTGCAGGGATATCTGTAGTAAACAGGAGAGATTTGAAAGATAATTTTCTGTGTCTTGCTCCCTGTTGATTATCTAGATAGTCATCGTAAAATGAGATAGGGCAGCTCTGGTCTTGGAATCAGCATGGAATCTTAACATGAGAGGAGACTTTGAGGCAGTGATTCTTAAACTTTTCCAAAGTTGATGATTCTTTTACTATTGTGTGGGGTTCTTGTCCTCCAGAAATTTATAATATGTTTGTTTTGGAGGACCCTTAAGTGTGGTAATTTGCTAGAAGGTCTCACAGGACTCAGAATACAGTTATCCTCCTGCTGTGATTTATTACAGTGAAAGGATGTAAAGCGAAGTCAGTAAAGTGCACGGAGTGAGGTCTGGAGGAGACTAGGTGCAGGCTTCCAAGAGTTCTCTCCCGGCGGGGCTGCACGTGCTTAGTTTCTGCTGCAGTGAGAACTGTCCACTAGAGGACTCCGCCTGAGCTCCAGAGTCCAGGGTTTTTAAGGGGCCAGTCACGTAGGCACCCTCAGCTTAGACAAAATTAAGGACTTCCAGCAGCAAAGCAAGTGTTCTGCATAAACCACTTTGTTTGTACAAATAGTTTGGGCACAGTAAACTACCCATATCAGTCAGGTAATGATGGGAACACTCCTGAAACCCAAGTTCCTAAGCCAAAGGCCAACTTTGCAAGCAAGCTTTTTTTTTTTTTTTTTTTTTTTTTTAAGATAGTAGCTTCAGCCTGCTGTGTCAACTCTTACACACACTGCTGGGACAGTGTTCTTAGCTTTTTACAAAGACACATCTTTGTAAAGACACATCTTTGTAAAAAGCTAAGAACACTGTCCACATAGAAACTTGTATCTGAATGTTCATAGAAGCATTATTCCTAAGAGCTAGAGTGGAAACAGACCAAATATCCATCAGCTAATGAACAGATGGATAAAATGTGGTATACACATAGAAAATATATCATTCAACTACAGAAAGGAATGATATGTGCTACAACATGGGTGAACCTTGAAAACATTATGCTAAATGACAGAGGCCAGTCACACAAGTCCACAATGTGAATGATTCCGTTTATATGAAATGTCCAGAATAGGCAAATCTGTAGAGACAAGAAGGTGAGTGGTTGCCTGGGGCTCAGAGGGCAGGGATGGGAGTGAGTGCTACTTGGTACTGGGTTCCTTTTTGGGGTGATGACATATTCTAAGATTGTGAGTAAAGGTGGCACAGCTCTGTGAATATACTAAAAAAACATTAATTAAAAAATGTATTTAAAAAGCTGTGTAGGATTGTAGGATGTGACAGGTTCAGTGCCAAATGAATGGTATGAGCAGGCTGAGGAGGAGGAGGAGGAGAGCATGCTGCTTAATTTGGCAGTCCTTCAGGTATTAGAGGTCCCTGTGACTGAGCTCCTCTGGCATTTCTGTTCATAGAGATGCCTGGTTCATTTAGCAAATATGATTTAAAGCATCATCTAGATGTAATCTCTCTGCCTCGTAACATTTGGTGGGCTTTGTTAGGAAATGAGCTGCAGAGAGGGTCAGTGGGTCCGTCTTCTGACCCACTGGAATTACCTGGAAACCAAAAAGGTTACTGTCTGCCAGCCTGTAACATCAATTTTGGACTAAGGGGCACTTATTCTCTTATGGTTGAACTCCTAACATGTCACTTGTTCTCTCTGGATCTATTTTAATGTCGGTCAGATGAGAGGCTCAGTGACTATGCAGACATTCATTCATTCAGTACATCTTTTTTTTTTTTTTTTAATCCTACTGCATATTAGGATTGAACAGCCTCTGCTTTAACTTCCCAGACTCTTTGGAATCTAAAAATCTAGATAAGGGTATTTGCAAGTACAGTGGATTCTTGAACAAGATGGGGCTTAGAGGTGCTGGCCTCCCACCAGTCAAAAATCCATGTGTAACTACAGTTGGCCCTCCACATACGTGGATGGTGCATTTCCTTAAAGCATCAGAGTGACCCTTGAAAAATGTGTGTTTGAACTGTGTGAGTCTATTGAGAAAATCCAGTGGACCCATGCAGTTTGAATCTGTGTTGTTTAAGGGTTGGTTCTGTTGAGACCCATAGAAGCAGATTATCTTCAAAACCCCAAGGTATTCTCTCATAAGCATTCTAATAAGTTGGTCTTGATTCAATACTAAAAATGTGGTTTGTTTGTTTTTTTTTAACAGGGAGAAGTAGAAGATAGAGTGGGAGAATTAAAATTTGACCGTTACTCGATATTTAGGCCTGGGTGAGTTTCTTACGGCCTTAGAGTACACCACTGTGGGTTAATCCCTAGAAGGGAGTTTTTCATTAGAAGAGGCTGACTACTAAGATATCTAAGACATTAAAGAAGTTGGCTGGAGGTGGATTATTCTCTGAAGAGCCCACCTTTTGGCTCTGAAGGAGGGGGTACAAAGTCAGTGGTGCCGAGTTCAGAATAGTGTAGAATTTCCTGGGTACCTTTTGCTGCCTTCTTTTTAAAAATCTTATTCACGCACCAGAGAAAACCTTTTACCCACTGTGTTCGTCTGTTCAGGCTGCCAAAACAGCATAACACCTCACACTGGGTGGCTTAAACAACAGAAATTCATTTTCTCACAGTCCCAGAGACTAGAAGTCCAAGATCAAGGTGCCAGGGGGGTCAGTGTCTGGTGAGGCATCCCTTCCTGGCTCGTAGATGGCCGCCCGTCTGTGTCTCACAGAGCTTTCCTCTGTGTGTGTGTGTGTGTTGGGGGGGGGGGGCAGAGATCTCAGATATCTCTTCCTCTTCTGTAAGGACACCAGTCTTATCAGATTACGGCCCCACCCTTATGACCAAAACTAACCTTAATCACCTTCCTAAAGGCACTGTCCTCAAATACAATCACACTGGGGGATGGGGTTTCAACATGAATTTTGGGGAGACGTAGCTTAGTTCTTCATACTTTCTATGGTCTGAATGCGATTTTCCATCTCTCACGCTGCTTTTTATTTACTTATTTTTTTCTCTTTAGAATTCTGTTATGTGATAGGCAAGAATCTCGCCCAGCCGAATGGCTGGTGAGAAAATTCTTTGGCTCCATACCAGCATCTTGGGCCAGAGGGCATTCTGTTCCAGTGGTGAAGGTGTGCAGAGCGATGCTGAACAACGCAGTGAGACCCAGCAGCAAGGAGAAGGAAGTGCTGGACAACATGGCCATCCACAGCCTGGGGAAAGCCGACGCCTCTTAAGCCATGATCACTCCCGAGGAATGCTTTTTTGTAAAACTCAGCACCCACCTAATCACTAATTTGAGGGTCTAAAAAAAGGAGCACTTTAACCATGGTTTCACTACTTTCAGCTGATCAGGTCCAATTAAAAACTGATGATGTACTACACGGGCAGCTCAGGGCCTGGTTGTGCACGTGTGCGGTTGGCCCTTGAACAACATGAGTCCATGAGTTTTTACACATGAGTTTTTTCAGTAAGTGCTGTAAATGGGTTTTCTATTCCTTAGGTTTTTCTTACAAACATTTTCTTCACCTTACTTTATTGTAAGAATACAGTATATAATACATATAACACACAAAACACTTATTACTGTTTATGTTAGTGGGAAGTATGATCAACAGCAGGCTATTATTAGTACAGCTGGCCCTCTGCATCCACAGATTTCCAATCTCAGATCAAAATTTTGTTTTCAATCCAAAGTTGGCTGAGTCTGTGTCTGTGGGTGTAAAACCTGTGGCTCTGAAGGGCAGAGTATAGTTAAGTTTGGGGGGTGTCAAAAGTTATTTGTGAATTTTCAAGTAAACTGGGGTGGCTCCCCAAATCACATGTTGTTCAAGTGTCAACTGTACGTCACCCGGGGAACTTTCCAAATGGAGAGCTTTGTGGGCTTTGCCTCCAACCTTCTGAATCTGAAATTTGGGGTACAGGCATAGGAATCTGTTGTTTTGTTTAAGCTTCCTCTGGAGATTCTGGTGCCACTGGGTGGCAGGGGTGGGGGTGGGTAGCATGGAGCCAGCTCTGAAATGCTTGTCTGCAGAGTGACAGCAGCGGGGAAGACCTTCTGTAATCTGCAGATGAGTTCTGTTCTAAAACTGTTGACATTTGTGTCTCCCAGGTACTCAGGCCTGACTGCATATAATTGTTTAAAGGAACATTGTGCCTTACTACTTCATTAGAATATATAATAACTGAGCTTATATAATTCATGGGAGAATTAAACAGTGGAATAAAAATAAATAGACAAGTCCCGGGTGCCTGTTAGATTGTTAGAGCATGTCCAAGTATCAGGGGTAATATGGAGTATTTTGGCCAGTGGGGTGATACAATAGCAGTTAATATTTATCAAGTGCTTGCTGAGTGCCAGCCTTTTCACATTCTGTCTGTCCTTTAACCCGCGCCCCGCCCCCCAAATAATCCTTGTAGATGGTACTATTGTTACCGAACAAGGGTCCACTGCCCGCCACACATAGAAGCCAAACTATGGCACTGGCTTTTGAGAAAAGAAGAGCTTTATTTGCCAGTTGACTGGTGAAAAGACAGGAGGCAAGGTTCAAATCTGCCTTTCTCATCCAGGATTCTGCATGGGGCTTTAAGGGGTAGCAATTAAGGGTTCACAAGCATTACTTGTGAGTGGTGTTTCACAAGTATTACTGATAGGTGGTGTATCCAAGGTTTAAACTTTGGTTCTGGGTCTTGTTAGAAACAGGATAGGACCCAGTTCTGCGGTTACATTATCATCCTCATATCCTAGATGGGGGTACTGAGGCTCACTGTAGTGAAGTGCCTTGTCAAGACGCCAAAGCTAAAGACCTGAAGCTAGGAAATGACAGAGACAGGATTCTAATCCAAGTCAGCCCGATGCCCTACCTTTGTATTTGTAACCACTCTGCAAGAGCATCCGGTATAGGTACAGTTCCAGGAAGTTCCACTCAATTTTTGCTGATCAGTACATGCTGTGGATAAATTAAATGGAAATATTTGGGTTTCTGCATTGGCTTAGGATCCCTAATCATGATGATCCACAGAATGTTCACAAAGCCAGTAAAAGTGCATCTCAAAGTGGTGCAACGTAAAAACTATGGAAAAGGAAGACACAGAAGTCAAGAGGAGTACACAGGGATAATTCCCATCATGAGACAAAGGATGGTGTTAAAACTCGTCTTAATGTTTGTACTGGTGGAAGCAAAGTTGAGTGATTCAGTCTATTTTTACAGGGTCTATGGTATGCCACATTTTAAGCTTCAGCGGACACTGGAGGATAAAGGCTAGTGGGCTTTAGGTAGGAGATGGGATATCCTCCTCCTGCCAGGTGGGGACCCTCTGGGGCTGCACTCTGAAGGGCCCGTGTCTTGGGGTGATAACAACCACGGGCTTTTAGAAGTGAGGTTTGAAGTTACAGCAGCTAAACCCTGTGGCCGGTTTTACTCTCTGTATACTATTTCCTTGCCCACAAACCTGTCAGGTCTTCTTCAACCTTCTATTCTGGTCTAACAGTGAGTAGGATGATGGGGGAGGATTTGTGTTCATCTTTAGTGCAGAGAAAAAAGCTACTCCCTCCCAAGCCCGGCATTACGGTGAGACATAAACTTTAAGTGGACAAGATTCTGGCCCAATCACCCCTCTAAAATGGATGTTTCTTTTATCTTTTTCTGCTAACATTGAATAATTGGATGTTACCAAGGGATTTAGCAGGTTTCCCTTTAAATGTTACACTGACAGAGAGAAGATGGCCTTGCTGGAGAGTTTTGTTGGAAGGATAAAGGAAAAAGTTGTATGATTCTTGGTACTGAAAGGCCTCGAATTCATTCAGCTCATTAAATGGCGGCTTGGTGCCATGGGGCACATAGGCAGTGTCCTACAATACAAGGGGCTTCAAAACTAATAGTTGATGGATTCTGTCCTCTTGGAGTTTACAGTAAAGGGACATTAAGAAGAGTTTAGCATGAATTCAAGGCTTCTGTTTCATTCAGCATATTTTTTGATTACCTATTATGAGTTAGGCCATGTATTATCCTTGCAAACAGTTACAAACACACACACACAGAGAAACAAGCAAATGGTAGGTGCTACGACTGGAACGAACAGGAGGCTGCTGGAATGACAGTGGTACCTACTTTAGAAACAGTGGTCAGAGGAACTTTCTGCCAAGACCAGTAGTACCTACCCATTTGCAGAGTATTCTTTGAAAAGGTCTGGAGGTGGAAAAATGACGAGTCCAAATAAAAGGCTGGAGGTTGGGGGCCCAAGGTGAAAGGTCGAGTTGAGATAGAACATTAGGCAGGATTATGTAGAGCCTGGTAGGCCATGGTAGCCAATTTAATTTTATAAACCTGTGTCAAGAGCAGGCTAGCCTCTGGAATTCGAGTTTGGGACATTACCTACTGAAATTACCGCTGCCCACGCCCTTGTAACAAAGCAATCTATGGTTTGACTAATACTGGGAAAGGAAGAAAGATATGATGCACGGGAAGGTTTGTGTTTTTCCCACACAGCAGCCAAAATGTTCTTGAGTTCCAGGGGTGTCCAACCTGCAGCCCGTGGGCCCCACGAGGCCCAGGATGGCTATGAATGCAGCCCAACACAAAACCATAACTCTACTTAAAACTTTTTTTTGCTGCTCATCAGTTTTCCTGTTTATGTACTGAATGTGTGCCCCAGAGACGCCAAAAGGTTGGACACCCCTGTACCCATCCGACAGTATCACTCCCTTGCTTAAAGACTCAAATCCTTAAAAAAACCCCACAGACTTTTGGCCCCAGGTAGTTTTTAGTACACTCACACTGGTTCCTGCAGTTCCCTCTCCCCAGCTTTACCCAAGGGGGATCAGGGAGCCCAGGAACCAGAGAAATCCCCGCGTCCTGCCTGCGTTCTGCCTCCGCCGCCACCAGAGGGCGCAGCGGCGGGTGTCCCTCCTCGAACCCAGAATGAGGGAAAGCTTCAAGGGCGTGGTACCGACTGCAAAATCTCGGCAACGTCTCTCCACCTCCGGGCACAGGGCTAGAGGCCAGGACCTCCCACTACCTTAGGAAGCCGGACGACAAAGCAAAACACGTGCCCAAGCCTCAGACGCTCAGACCTCTCAAGGATTAGCCGACTCGCACTGCGTCAACCCTGCGGCTAGAGGAGGATGCAAAGTCCGGCTTCTTGCCCCGCCCACCCGATCACGTGACCAGCATGGGGCCTGAAGACCGGAAGCGCTCGCGAGCTAGCGCGCGCGTTCTCGCGTTTCTAGTGCCCGTGCAGTTCCCCAAATCTCCTATCCTGCTGCGCGCTCGCTCGCGCTCGCTCCCGAGTCCCGGTCACCAGAGTTTCACGGCGTTCGCGCGCACTTCTCAGCCAGGTCCCCGCCCCCTGCACGCCGGGCTCTCTGGGCTACACAACCATGTGCTCGTTAGCGTCGGGCGCTACCGGTGGGTATCCCCGACCCTCAGCACTCGGCTCTCCCAGCCCCCAGGCCTCGCCGGCGCGGGCCGGTGAAAGACCCCTTCCTCCCCGTGCGCACTCAGGGACCCGGAACCCGGGCGGTAGGGCCTTGCAGGGAGGGTGGGGGAGGTGCTGGGGAGGGCCGCTGGGGAGTGGGACGCGGGCAGCGCCCTTCAGCAGTGGAAAGCCTTTTCCCCACCCTCCTCGAGCGCTGGGTTCGCACTGGCGTGCGGAGCGGATCTGATCGTTTGCGTGTGCTAGGCGGCCGAAGCGCTTTGTTGGATGAGGAGGACCTACCAGATCTGTCAGACAGCGGGGACGAGGCCGCCTGGGAGGATGAAGACGATGCCGAGCTCCCCCACGACAAGCAGCAGACTCCCTGCCTGTTCTGTGACAGGTTCGTCCAACTCTGCGCCAGGCTTCAGCCCAGGGGGCCGGGCCGCGTGCGACTGTGTGGTCTGCTCGTCTGGAGTCAGAGTGGCCTGCCTTCGAATTCTCCAGCCAGTGGTCTGGAGTGGGCCTTGTTGAAGACCCTGAGTGGTATAGGGAGAGTAGCCATGAGCTGCAGCCAGGTTGTCTTCGACAGGCCTCAGTTTCCCCGTGTGTAAAATAGTAGGGTTTTGGACTGGACCTGTGGTTCCTAAATCCAGTTGTGCACCTTTGTCAACTGAGACGCTTAAAAAATAAAATACAGATGCTGAACTCTGCACCACAGTCCTTCTAAGTCACGATTGGGGTCTAGGAATCGTTTATAAAGGCACTATCTCAGGCAATCGTAATGAATACCAAGTTTCCGAGTCACTGAACTAAAAAATCTCTCAGGACCCTCTCAGCTTTGCCACTCCATAATTCTCTGTCAAGTAGAGAGCTTCTCAGGTGTAATACTACATTTGACCCATTTAAAGAATTACCTTTCTGAGGGTAGGGCTCCCCATGTATCAAAGAGGAAGGAATTGATGCTGTTTCACTTAGGTTAAAAGAGACTGCAATACCAATACCTTTTCAAGGTCACAAAGCTGTGATTTGTCATATCCAAATCCCTGTTCTTTCCACTTAAAATTCTACCTCTTCACCTCAACAAGCGTTGGTTGACTTTGGCTGCTGCCCTGGCACGTGGGCATGAAAGAAGCCTGGTTGGCATGGGCTAGGGTTCCTTTAATAAATATTTTCCAGTTTCTCTTAAATCTGGGCCTAGTGCTGGTTGGTGGTATTTTAGCTCCTCCTGATTCGTCATTGTCCTCACATGTAGCCTCCTTTGGGTGGGTGTAGAATGTCTACTCATACTCGATCGTCAAATTTGTTGAACGTCAGGATGTACGTCATTGTGATAGGCTGCATCAGTACTGCAAAACTGACCTATCTTGGTAAATGTGTGTTGCAAGCTAACTGCTGCGTATGTGCTGGGCATATAAAAGAGGCATGCAGCTTCTTTGCTGTGTATTCCTATTTTGTGTCCTTCAGTTTTGTGGGTCACACACTGAAGAGGCTTGGTCCTCACAGTGTCTGTCGTGCAAGTCCTATAGGAACACTACAAGATCCCTTTTGAAATAAGGGCGCTGTAGGACTATGCCAGCTGTAAAATTAGGTTTGATGTTGTACTTCTGAAAGCAGTTTGAGCTTTGCCAGTTCACAGTCTCCAAAAGCAGAGTTGACACTTAGAGGAGAAAAGAATCTTACACAGGGAATTTTCATAGCTTGACAGAAGCAGGATCTGTCAAAGGGAGTTCTTTCTTAAAATTGTTTTGATACATTTCCATGCTATTAATGGACAAGTAAATTACTTTTGACATTTAATCGGTAGTTGGTTTAATAAAATGGAACTC